GTATTTACTGTGACTCAATTTAGTTCCAGCAATATAGTATTATCTTCTTGGAAACTGATTAAAAAAAAATAAAAATCTGAATTTTTCTCAGAATCCACAAGAAGTCATTCTTTTGTCTTTGTCTTCTAAAATTTCTCTGTGAGCAATTTCAGTTTTATTACAGCCTGGTGCCACTACCTTACAGTGAGATTGCTGACCACTGTCAGTGATATTTGAAAAATTGAAAATAACAGGAAAGTGGGTCTATGTCATTCCAATTTCCAAGGGAAAGAGTATGAGTGCTGTAAGGAATATATACAAGTGAACTTGATAGTGATCCTGGGCACATTTATAGAGTAAATGATTTATGATGGGAATGTTGTAGAGGTTGATGAAATACAGGTGGGGACTTGGGCTTGGTAAGTAACTGTCCGAAGCTGGGTAGAAAATCTATGGCAGAAAGACAGCTCCACTCTCTGGGATTATCTAGAGACCTAGGCTGGCAGGTGCTTCTGTCATACTCAACATAAAGCTTCCATCTCTGGGTTTAAGGAACCACTCCTGTTGTCACCGTTTCACATTTAATGAAAAGAGGAAAAGAGCAGAACCTTTCTTCAAGTACTTAATTCCCCAACATACTGACAAGATCATATTTCTGTCTGAGTCTCTACTTTGAAGGTGGCCAAGGGAATTTGTTTTCTGTTGGCCACCAGTAGGGAGCTACTGACTTGGTTTTCAGAAAACCAACCCCTAACTATAGAAATTCANATTCATCAATTTTTTTACATAAAACCAAGTGACACGCCATTCACTGATAATCTGGTTATTTCTTACCTCTCTGAAATGATTTTTTTTTTAAAGTGGAGAAGAGTGTGAAGGAGGTGCATACTAGATACCTGTTTAAGTAACGAAATAAATAACTAAATACACAAAGGGGGGGGAGCTCCTCTCTGTTTTGTGGCCCAAAGACATTCTTTAGAGAAAATAGGACTTTTTGGTCTTATGGATAGTTACAAATTTTCCCCCCAAATACACTTCATATTATTGAAAGCACATCCTGATGTTCTAAAGCATGGGTAAACTATAGGCACTCTGATCTCTCACTGATGGCTATAAACTCAGGGTGAGCACTGACATTATGCTGCCTCTCTTGCTAGTGCTTTCCTTAAGCCCACAGTGTAACTACCTCCATGGACAGAGTGTGGGGTAGTGGTTGCAAAGACTGGGTCTTATATTGATACAAAAAATTCCTAAGTTTTTATAACTCTTTGTAATTTAAAAAGAAGTTCCAGATATAGCCTCTTACTTGATTCTCAGAAGAACCCTAAGAGGCAGAAGGGATGACTATAATTATTATTATTTTCCAAATGAAATACTAAGGCCCAGGTATATGTAAAAAGATTCTCTCAAATCACAAACCTAGAAAGTAGAAGAGTCAAGATTTTGATCAATGCCTTCTCCTGTCTGGTCTACACACTTTCTAATGGATAGCATTATAAGAGGTAGAAAATTAATTCCATTTACCCCATGAGAAAAGTCTGGGCCTACAGTGAATGTTGTGAGGACACAAAATGAAAGGGAAAATAAACAAACTAAAACTGAGTATTTCCTTTGCCTAAGAACTTTTTCAGTACTGGGCTGTTTTCAGAGCTGAGTGTACTGATTGATAGTTTTTTCTGCAATTTCTCCAAGATGCTTATTTCAGGTGTTATATAGAAATTAAGATATGTAAATTCAAGATATAAATTTGGTAGTTATTAGAGGGGTAAAACAATCACAGGAGAATCCTAGACTAATTCATTCTCAAAATCGTATGGTTCAAGTTTCATGCTCCTGCATATGGATATCCAGTTATCCCAGTACCATTTGCTGAAGAGGCAGTCTCTTCCCCAGTGTATTGGCGTGGTGCCTTTGTCAAAGATCAGATGGCTGTAGGTGTGTGGGTTGATTTCTAGATTCTCTATTCTATTCCAATGATCAGTGTGTCTGTTTTTATGCCAGTACCATGCTGTTTTGGTTATCATAGCTTTGTAGTATAGTTTAAAGTCAGGTAGTGTTATTTCTCCAGATTTATTTATTTTTTTTTTGGCTAAGAATTGCTTTGGTTATGTGTGGTCTTTTGTTATTCCATATAAATGTCTGGATAGTCTTTCCCATTTCTGAGAAAAATGTCATTGGAATTCTGATAGGAATTGCATTGAATTTGTATATCACTTTGGGTAGTATGGACATTTTCACAATGTTGATTCTTCCAATCTAAGAGCATGGGATATCTTTCCATATTCTTGTGTCTTTAATTTCTCTCAGCAGTGGTTTGTAGTTCTCATTATAGAGATTTTTCACATCCTTGGTTAACTCAATTCCTAAGTATTTTATTGTTTTGGTGGCTATTGTAAATGGGCAAGCTTACTTGATTTCTCTT